AGATTCCCCAGCTTTTGAGGTCCATTAAAATGGTTAAGAATGGCCTTTCATGAAAGAAATTAAAAGTTGGCCGTGAGAATAGTTAATTGGTGGAATGACTTATCTCTCTGGGTGTGCCATCCTTGGAAGTTTTCAAGAATAGACTGGATGGTTATATGTCCAGAATGTTATAGGCTCTCCTGCTGAAACAAGTGGTTAGACAAGAAGACCTCCAAGGTATCTTTCAACCTTATATTTCTATGTTCTGTGAAAAATAATTGGACGTCAAATGACTCCCAAATCCCACGGTGACATCCTTGTGCTCTTCCGCTCCACAGGCCTACTTGTCCCAGCCACATCTGTGTTCAAACCCTGTGTTTTCCTTGATGATGAAATGCTGGAGCCGAGATATCAAAGATCGTCCCACCTTTGAAGCAATCCACCTGTTTCTCATCGAACAAATGGATGGAAGTATTGGACCTATATGAGAACATGAAACTGTTGAAAGACCACTGTCATTGGGCCAAAGGTGCTCAGGTGTCTGTCTGACTCCCTCTTTCCTGTGGACAAGACCAGGTGAAGTCAGATGCACCACCAAAGTAACCGTTGAAGGTGTTATTCTCGAGATCTCTTCAAGGGGTGGCCTGATGGGGCCTCTTTATCATGTGGCTGGTGGCCATCATGAGAAGAAGCAGAGCCCAAAGTTGAGGGGACTCCATCGCCTTGGTGAGAGGAATCCATGTTCTGTATTGTCCTCTCCGTGGGGGCATCTTGGAAGCTGCTGCTTTTCTCAGCCACCATTCAGAGTTCCAGAGGGCTGAGAAACTAACATCTCATGGAATATTTTTGTCTTCTTTCCTTGAAATATGGAGAGGATCTTTTGTCTTTGCTTTGTCCCTCCTTCCTAGCTCTCAGCAGAATTCACTGTCTCCAAAATGAAAGATAATGTTCCACCTTTTTGGAAGATCAGCTTCTTGGGATATCTGTCCACCTTTCCTGAAGACCATGTTTGGTGCATCCTGTGGGACCTCCAGCTCCTCCTTTTCTGTCGTACCTGTTCTTTCTATCTTTCAATCAGACTTGGGGAGCTGATGGATACTTGTGACTGCCGATTCTCCAAAAGGAGAGACACGTCAAGTTTCCCACACTGGATTTAACTACCTTGATGAAGAGCAAAACAAAAATGAATGTCAAGGTTGATAGGAAGGCCTTCTAGATATCAACAAATGGGAAGGATTTACTTTGGGGGAATGGCATTATCGTAGGAAGGATTAAACGACACTGTGACTAATATCAAGATGAAATGGATCTTTGGCAGCCCGAAAGGACTGATTTTCAAATCGTGCTGTATTGAAAGTTGTCAAGATGCCAAAGAAGTCATAGCCCACCTTAGAACATCTCAATTTCATTTTTCATCCAGCCTTTCTTTCCTTCTTTAGTTTAAACCCCTTAAACATCTGCTGCTTTAGTTTCTAGGTTTTAAAAAAGTTTGAAAATTAGCCAAGTGGGTTTCTAGCCCATGAGGATTTAAGCCCTAAAATTTGGAGTTTTGTGGGTAGGATCTTGAGAAAGACTAGGAGAAGACAGATTTGGCTGAAGAAAAAGACAACTCCTCATGCCCTGAATGTTTCCTTCTGCATCCCCCCTGAAAGGGTCCAAATTTGTAAAAAAAGAAAATCACATTTGGCCCAGTTTGGGAGTGGGGTCCATCATGCAAACTGTCCACTTTTTAACCAGCCTGTGATTTCAAATGAATGTGCAGCAAGTTTGATCATTGTTACAACCTGATTTGTTTTTTTTTAAATATGGTGCTTAAGGTTATTGTTAATTGCACAAAATAATATGTGAGGAATCAGATGCAAAGCAGTTTGGTAAATATCTCCATTTTCCCATGCCAGGAGAATTCTTGGCTGGAGACAGATCAAAAGTTATTTTTGAAAAGGCAACTGGACTGATATTGGAGGAGGAGGAGGAGGAGGAGGAGGAAGAAGAAGAAGAAGAAGAAGGAAGAGGTCTTTGCTGGAGACCTTTTGTAAACATTCTCTTCCAGGATTACAATTTTCAGTTCAGGGAAGGAAAATGATGCTTTGAACAGTTTAACCATCAACCCTTTTCATCCTGGCTGACCTGGAAAAAGGTAAACATGGTTGGGAAACCACCTGGTGTACTTGGAATGAAACAAACTACCTGGATATGAAACGAATAGCAAACTTGACTTAAAATATTTACTGAAGTGCCAAGCCTTATTCAAATAGTTAGGTGGTTCTACTTCTCTCTCTCTCTCTCTTTTTTTCTTAAATTAATATCAAGAAAATGCAAATCAGTTTGAGGAACTTGATACTGGAGAAGAAGACCTTAATCTTCTCTCTCCTGTAGCCCCAACAGCCTCTTCTTGTACCCCATTTTTTCCTGAACACCCCCCCCAAATGGTAGGTATGGCCTGCAGGTATCGTGGACTGGCATCTGTCAGTGAAGAAGTCACACAGCAACTTCCTCCTTGCACCATAGAAGGAAGGAACATCTCCATGGCATCCATTGTGTCGACCAAGAAGAACGTCTGGTCTTGCTGTATTTTGCTAGGGATTGAAAGAGATGGAGCTCAGAAACAGTGGCCTTTATACAGAGACCACCACTCCTTCTTTGTGAGGGTGGGTGTTGGTGACAACACCAACTCATATGATATATTCAGGGAGCCGGGAATTTGGAGATAACTGGAATTCAGAGCAGTGGGGGGGGAGTTCAAGATTTTTTTTACTACCAGTTTGGTGGACGTGGATTGCTGGGCGTGGCAAGGAAGGATACTGTAAAATCTCCATTCCCTCCGCATCCCACTAACCTGCTTCCCAGCTCCGTTCTCCTGTGCAGGGCAACCAAAGAAGACCCAGCTGATCAGCTGGGACTCGGGCGGAGAAGAGATGAGGTTGGCGGGGCCAGTCAGAGGTGGGATTGGCCAGTTCTCCTAATAACTACTCAAAATGTCTGCTACCGGGTTTCCAGAACGGGTCAGAACCGGCTGAAGACCACCTCTGATTCAGAGACTCCAGAAAGGGATGCCCAAGCTAGTTGAGAATTTCAGATGGGCTCACTAGAGGCCAATCCTTGATAGCTTCAAGCTACCTATGGAAACGGGGTTACCAGAGCACAATTGTAGGGTCCTCCTACCAAGCTCTGCCTGAATGAACCCTTCAAACCATCTGTCCAAACTCATGCCTTGGCCATCAGAGTTGGTTCCAGCAAGAAGGGAGGGCTTCCTTCCCCATATATACATACATACATACACACACACACACACACAAAGATACAGGATCAAACCAGCCTTTAAAAAAATTGGCCACTTCTAAAACCTTTGTGGTGCATCTCTTCACAACAACCAATCAATCAAAATGTCTAAAAAAATAAATAATTAAAAGCAATAATGATGCCCCCCTACTTCTCCTTTGGCTATTTCCTCTTCCTTTTGAGAGCGGGAGATTGTCTTTCCATGTTACTTGAAGTTTGAAACTGTGGATAGATGCACAGCACATAGGATTCCCTGAAAAAAAATAGTAAACTGGTTCCCACCCCGCTCTTCCTTTCCTATTCTAGTTTTGCTAACCCTCCTCTTTTTTTTAAATCTATTTTGGCTCTTTAGCCCTGTATATTTTGTATTTAGAAATGGCATTCAGATGTGTACATAGTATAATATATGAATTTAACCAGGAATTCCTCTGTAACCACACAGTCGCTTTATTCTGATGACCATTTTTATATGTTGACAAATGACCAATAAAGTCGGTTGGGTTTTTCTCACCCCTGCCTGTTCCTTCTATCTTTTTTCTGCTTTTGCACGCAATTCCTTTAGTTGCATCAGCGTTGGAGTCAATGCTTGGCGATTGCTCACCAATATATCCATTTTTTTTTCATCAGTGTGTATGTATAAATGTTCACTAGAATGATTGGGGGGCATGGCCTGGTGAATTGCACTGACTTTCCAATAGATTTGCAAATTGTAATGCGTGAACCGGTTAAATTAACGGATTTGACATGCGTCCACACCTGCACAGACCCCCCCCTCCCTGCAAACACAGGAGAGCACGAATTCAAGTCCCGCTTTAGCTTTGAAAGCCAGCTGGGTGACTTTGGACCTGTCCCGCTCTCTCGGCCCACCGCACAGGGTGGTTGTTGTGGAGAAAGAGGCTGAGGCAAGCGTGTTGGATAGGTTCCCTGCTTTGAGTTATTTGTAAAAAATAATAATAATAATAATAATAATAATAAAGGTGAGATAGAAATAAAAATAACTACAGTAGCTGAGGGTGGGACTTATTGAACGTAATGAAGTTTATTTGGGAATTTAACTCCGCACACCCAAGTTTACCCAAACTGGCTGCAAAACCTCATGATGGTCACTAGATGGTGACAGAGGTTTCTGTCTCTCTCTGATGCCACCTAGTGCCTATCTGGATAATAGGAGTCCTTGATAGATTATCTTATCAAGATATTTATTTTTATTTGTTTTTTTGTCAAACATGGACAAGATAGCAGGTATAAGTATGAACATAAACATGAATGAAAGAAATAAACACAACTAAATGGGAACAGCAAGACAGGGCACGTATGCACGCCCCTCTTAGGAATGGGGTGAGGTCCACGGTAGACAGTTTAAGGTTGAAGCTATGAGGGTTTGAGGATGTAACAATGGAGTCAGGTAGGGCGTTCCAGGCGTTGACCACTCTGTTGCTCTAGTTGTGTTTCCTGCCATCGAGTTTGAAGCTTGTTTGTATCAGTTGTTTTCGCGTGTATTATTGTGGTTGAAGCCGAAGAAGTCGTTGACCGGTAAGACATTGCAGCAGACCATTTTGTATATTATGCTTAGATCAGACGCATAAGGTGGCGCATCATCATAATAATATTATTATCTTGGAGGACTCTCCTTCCTCCACCAACTGCACTTCTTTCCGTGAACAAAAAAGATACTCAACTTCCTGGTTTACGTCATTCTAAAAGCCAAACCCAGCAGAACAAAGAGTGGATATCAACTCTTCCAACAGCCAAAGCAAGATTGTTGTCAGATCATCGGCTCTTAGAAACCAGGACGGATGGCTTATCAACAGCTGCTAAGAGACTGGAACAGAGGTGTGCTAGCCCTTGAGAAAGGCAATCTTGACGCTGCCTTGGACATCTTTCGTAGCATCAAGAATCCTCCTTCCAAAATAGATTTCAACATTGGCTGTCTGTATCTCCAGCAAGGAAATCTGGATCAAGCTCTGGAGGTAAGAGAAACAACCTTCTCAACCACTGTAGGATCCAACCACACTATTAAAAAAGAGGTGGAGACTCTAGAAAAAGTGCAGACAAGAACAACCAGGATGATTAGGGGACTGGAGGCTAAAACACACAATGAACAGTAGCAGGAACTGGGCCAGGATAGTCTAGGGAAGAGAAGGACCAGGGGAGACAGGAGAGCAGTCTTCCAATATTTGAGGGGCTGCCCCAGAGAAGAGGAGGGGGCCAAGCTATTTTGCAAAGCACCCGAAGGCCAGACAAGGAATAATGGATGGAAAATGATTCAAGGAGAGATTCAACCTGGAAATAAGGAGAAACTTTCTGACAGTGAGAACAATCAACCCATGGAACAGAAGTTGCCTTCAGAAGTTGTGGGAGCTTCATCCCTTGAGACTTTTCAAGAAATGACTGGACTGCCATCTATCAGAAATGGTGTAGGGTCTCCCGCTTGGGTGGGGGGCTGGACTAGATGACCTACAAGGTCCCTTTCTTTTTCTTTGAAGACGTTTCGCTTCTCATCCATGAAGCTTCTTCAGGAACAACCTTGTCTTGGGTGACTGAGAATTTCCATAGACATCTGTGGATTTCGGCTTAACTTAAATCTACCTAGGAAACCATCATGGTTTATGCACTGCCAAGTTTTGTGAGCCAGACATTTGTGGTCTGTTCAACATACCACAGTTCATTTCCCTCGAAGCTCAGGTATTTTCCCACGTCATTATAGTTGTGCAACTATAATGACGTGGGAAAATACCCGAACAAAGCTGAATACCATACATGTAAGTACCTGCGAAAACTTAAGAAAATATATATATATATTTGTTTCCTTAAGTTTTCGCGGGTACTTACATGTATGGTATTCAGCTTTGTTTGGGTATTTTCCCACATCATTATAATTGTGCTTTAAAAGTTACTGTAAAAGTCTGATTCACAGATGAACACAATACAGAAGCCTGATGATGGCAGATGAGATTCTGCTGAAACGTCGCTACAACTTTAAAAGCACTTGCAAATCCAATAGATCTTTGGATAAAATCACAAGTGAGAGAAGAAAGAATTTGCATTGCGATCCTTCAAATCAAGCTCTCCATATCAAGGAAACATCATTGGCCAACTCTCCTTTTAAAATATAATTTTAAAAGCACAGACAAAAGGGAAACAAAAAGTCCCTTTTTCTTATCACAAAGTTAATCGACTTTGCACTTATAATGTTTGCAAAAAAAAGGAGAAAGTTTCATCCCAAATATCTAAGTGCTGGCAACTATCTGAGGCTAAAGCCTAAATAAACTCTGATTAATAAAATGCAGTGGTTACTCCCACACAGTCTATTCCAAATTACCTAATTTTATTCAGGCTTGCATTCCCAAAGGAACCCAAAAAGTGAACATTTAGATATTCCATTATTGCTCTGGCAGCGATTTCGTGAATAAAGTCCAAACAACTTCCTTCGAAGCCACAATGTCATTTGCTTGGCTTGAGCTGTTTTCCTTCATGACCTCTTGGATGATGATGGCTTGTGGTGATAGGTCATCCAGTTAATTGTGACTTGCTCAACAGTTGGATTTTGCAAGGCTTCAGTTATGATTTACAAGCCAGGAAGACAAGCTGTGTCGCTTACGATTTAAGCAACACACACACACACACACACACACACACACATATATTCTGACAGTTAGAACAACTAACCAGTGGAACAATTTGCCTCCAGAAGTTGTAAATGCTCCAACACTGGGAGTTTTTAAAGAAGAGATTGGATAATCATTTGTCTGAAATGCTATAGGGTTTCCTGTCTAAGTAGGGGGTTGGACTAGAAGACCTCCAAGGTCCCTTCCAACTCTGTTATTCTATTCTATTCTATTCTATTCTATTCTCCCCTGCTTGCCTTCTGCAATTGTTTAAAAACTCCTTTCTCCTTTAATTGCTGAATTGTTGGTGGAGATATTTTCAAAAACCTGGTTTTTTAAACGTTCACTTCGGCTGATAAAGACATTTCTTTCATATCAATTTTAGGTCGCCTCTCCCCAAGCAATTTCAAAACTTATTTTTATTTCTGAATTGCCCGGTGCAGTGTAAAATAGCTGTGTGTGTGTGTGTGTGTGTGTGTGTGTGTGTGTGTGTGTGTGTGT